CTAGCCACAACCGTCTTCTGCACCGGTTACAATTTCCATTTTAACCAGCAATTAGGAGGAGGCCAAGGAACGAAAAAGAAGAGATAGTGCACAATCTGCTTATATTCTGCCGTTAACTTCAAGCAGAAATGAACAGAGTTAAACACTTCTGCCTCGCTTGTGGCAGGAAATATTGGCTGAGGTTGACTTAAGGCCTGTGAACCGCTCGTTGTACTGTACTACCAACTTCAGAAACGGAAGGCCCAGAACCAATGGCATATGAACGATATCACCGGGTTGGTCCGAGAGTTGGATGATCATCCCGAGTCGAGACCTCCCTGAATCAGCCTTCCGTAGATTCTTCTCCATCCGAAGTCGACCCTCGAACTGGCAATTCTGAGACATGTTTGTCGCCTCGAGCTGCCCAAGAGCGTTAGGCCTACTGCTCACCTCTTTCTCGTCCGTCTTTGGCCGCTGACACTTGAGATCACAGATCCAGTTCAAGACGTCCTTGTAAAGGTCCCATATCTGCTTGTATATCTGATGCCGAGCTGTTATTCCCAGTTTGTAGATGAGTTCAGGATCTTCCAACATGCTCATCCGCAGCAACATCTCTTCGCTAATTATCATCGCCTGCAAACGATCGAAACCAGGATCAAGTTTCATCGGGTCCAGTCGACACGGTTCGCCAGGCCAATTGCTCTCCTGACCATGCAACTCATTCTGCAGCCGCTTTCTTGCTGACCCTTCTTCGGACACTTCCTCCTCCCACTGTAGCTGAGGCGGATCGTCGTTTGTTAAATCGTTTTCCAGGAGCTCCGACTGTCCTCGCGATAGTCCTCTCTTTTGCAGGTCGACCATAATGCTTGAGAAGATATCGCAAAACATAGGGCCGCGGGGTCCAGCACACAAGCTGTAGACTCGAGAGACGTTGTCTATAGCTGATGTATTCGGCCTGATCTCGAACGTGTATTGACAGACAGGTTGGTTGACAACTAGGATATCATTTACAAGTCCGGCAGGAGATAAAGGCGATGCTGATTTAATGAAATGCTCAATTTTAAATATATAACTAATAAATTCAAAATAGACATGTAACCAATAAGCTATCTGATCCACGTTTGTCGTCTTACCTCTTTTCTCCAAATTCTGGTCAACGGCATCAGCGAGAAGCAGTGACATGCAGACATGCAGGATGGAGAGTAGAGCCCACGATGGCTTGAAGAAGTTGAAGGCGAGCATGAGGCGTCTTTTGAAGTCTCCTGATGG